ACAAACATGATTTTTTAGGAAGAAAAGGTACAGTGTTTCCGGGTTTGACCTTGAACTCACTTTGTGTTTAGGAACTGACTTGAATTTCACTCAGTATTTTTATATATATTTTATATACATTTGTTTTCTTGAATTGTTTTCCACCCAAAATTGGTAAGAAAACATTCAATTTGCCTCTAATCAATTTTCCTTTTTTTTTTTTAAAGTTGCCAAAAATAGCTCACAGATGTTTGTGGCATGAACAGAAGTCTCCCCGGCTGGCACGAACCACCACCCTCCCTCCTCCTCCATCTCCCTTCCTCCTGTGCCCTGCAGGATGGTGCAGCTCCAACCACCCCCAGCTGTTTCCACCCACCCAGGTTACGCAGTGGCACCTCGGCATTAGTGGCTCCACATGCTACTAATTGTGGGTGCAATTATTCCCATCCCTGCTACATCTTGCAATGCCTCCCTCCTCCTGTGCTGGCACCAGCTTTGAGCTAAACCTTCCCCAAATTGTTCTCACAGCTTTGTATGCATCACCCTTGTGCACAGCACAAGCAGCCCCAGGACTCACGTGGGTCCGTGTCCCTTTCCCGGGTGGCATTGATGTCTCTCCACCTCAGCAGAGTTGTTTTTTCACCTGCCGCCCCTCCTTGCTGGTAGGCAGCAGACCAGAGCTGGGTTTCCAGCCAAGGACGGGGCATCTGAGCCCCACCGCTCTGCCAAACCCCCCAGACCATCCCCCCATTTCTTCCAGTTGCCCTTACGGCGTGACACCAGTGAGCTCGGCAGATGCACCAGCCTGGACATGCGGGCAAGGACAGCCCGGCATCACAGACAGGAGCAAGGGGGTCAGGAAAATGCATGTGTGCTTTATTCATGGATATGTTTGAATATTGACATGTACAGAAGAGATAAGTACAGGTTATACCCCAGTAGTGTAGGCAGATACCAACCGTCCTCCCCTAGGTGCACGCGCACACACACGCACACGTACGCACACAGCCTTTAGCATCACCATTGCTCCAACGCCGGCTCCCCGCCGCGGTGTCTCCCTCCCTTCTTATGTTCTTGCTTTGACAACAACGTGGTATTTGTACATACACAATATTTCACAGGCTTTCAGGACTGCCAAACCACTGGGAACAGTGCTGAGCAGCCAAAAAAATAGAGTTCAGTGGCTACAGAAAGCTTGGCTGGTTCTTTTTTTCTTTTTTTTTTTTTTTTTACCCTTGACTCTTCTTTGTGCTTATGAATGTCCTCAGGTATGGAGTAATTCCTAAAAAATCATCTCCCTTTCTCTCTCTTGGCTCACTCAGTCCTTTGCCTTTACAAGCAGCTGCTATGCCTTTGGTGGTTAGTCAAGAGGCTTAAAAATTAAGATCTGTGGTTCACTTCGCAGAGTTCAACAGAGATGAAATGTCATTAAAAAAAATTACTGACTTTTCACGAGGGAAAAAATGTTCCCTGCGCACACGTGTGTTTGGAGGGGGAGGGGAAGCATTTGGGTTTCCTGTGTCTAAAATAGACTGCTCAAAAGCCATCCTTTTTTGTGAAGTTTGATTCGTGAATGGGCTTGGAGGAAAAACTGACATTCAATATTGGAAAGAAGGGTGACATGCAGGTTTTTGGATCGTTATTTTTTTAAATTCTGTGCAATATGACTGCCCATCCCACCACCACCCCGGCCCTTCCCTACTGGGCAAGAGCCTTCTTGCTCTGTGCCTTACTCACTTCATTTCGAAGCATCCCCAGATCGCAGGGAATGCCTGGGAGAGTAGGACCTGGCCTGGGACAGGGCTTGAAGGATGCTGTATCCAAACTCACAGCACAGGACGAAGGCTGGGGACAGAGAATGCATTTGCAGACCTGCAACCTCAACTCTGCAGATGTTTTTGAGGCCCTTCAATCAAGAGCAGGAGGAGGAAACCCATCCAAATTCTAGCAGACACCCATTTATTCACTGTGCAATGTTTGCAGGGATCCCAGCAGAGCACTGCCATGGCCTTCTCATACAATGCCTCTGTGATATGATCCATGGTAGTTGGCTGTCACCTTCCACGGCCTTTGGGGGAACTTTTAGCTGTTGGTCTACCATCCTCCCAAAATTGAGGACTTGAGAAGAGACTGCTATGGGAATCGAGGGTCTCTTTGGCCTACGATGCTTAGAGACAAATAACATCCTAAAGAGTCTTTAAAGCAAGATATAAATCCAGGGGAGATGATGCTGTCTCTCATTGACCATTTCAGATAAATCTGCCAGAAAGTGTAAACATGGCCTGCTGTGGCACATGGTAATAGACCAGGTAACTTCTAGAGGTCTGCTCCATCTCTGGTAATCTGAGTAGGTTTCTCCACATCTATTTTTCACAGCATACCAGTCCTAAGGGAGAGCTGAAGTGGGGTTGCCAGTCATCCTGACCACCTAGAAAATGTCTGTCTCTGCTGGTTGCCAATCAGAGAAGGAAACGGCAAAGTGCCATTTCAACATCACCACCAGTGAGTTATAAGAGACACAGGAGCGGAGCCATGAAGGAATGCGGGAGTGATTACTCCTGGAAAGCAGCTACCTCTTTCATACCCATCCTACACAGAGGCTCAACCCATGCAAGAAGATTAAAGGCTGGTGGAGACCTGGCTTGCTGGGGCCAGATGTGTAGAAGAGCAGGGCATGATTACAGGACTTGAAAGGAAAGCAGTAGAAGGCAATTCACAGCATGACCTCATGATGTTGAGGTAGTTCCTTGCCTTTGAAGGGCTGAGCATCCGGTTTTAATCCCTTTCTCATCTGTGCCTTAGAGGACACAAGTTTTGCAGAGCTGCAGCTGGTAGTTGTGTCACTTGGTGCACGGATGGCTCCACAGTCTCTCAGAGGACACCGTTGTCCTAGATAAAGGGAAGATGTTCACAGCAACTCAGTGCATGGCTATGGCACTTTGAAGGGAGGGACTTCCCTGCCTGTAGCGCTACCTCCCTGCCTGTTTTTCTGATCTGCGTGAGCCTCTTGGCAGTGAAGACTTCACATACAAGTTTCAGTTCAGAGTGTGACCTAGACCCCTGCACACAAGACTTGGATCTCGGCGTGTTCCTTTGCACAGCCCTGGATTAGGATAACCAGGTGCTACAGCCCCAAGGACCTTGAGGAGCAGAACTTTGGATAGGATGCAGCCAGGAGGATTTCTGTGTATATCTTACACATCCACAAGCGTTCCCCTGAAAACAAGAGTGGTTTCATATTGCGCCAAAACCCAAGAAAATTGCTGTAGTTTCTCAGCAAAACCTGAAGAAAAAAAGCAAGGGAAGGTGTTCTGTAGGGAATGTGAATGTAAAGCACTGGACTTTGCTGCATCAGCTGCTGCTGAGCCTTTCTATGCATCCAAATGCTAAGGAACTAATGATGTTCCTTGAAGGAGCACAAACCAAGGAATAAATGCGCTGCTGCAAAACCCAGGCCTAAATACTCAGGGAGAATCTGGAGCTATTTCTATGCCTCCTGTGGCAGTCAGCCCGGGTAAACATTTATCTCGGGAAACCTTCTCACCTTTCCTCCCCATCTTCTTTCTTGGCTTGATCTAACGAGGGGTTCAACCCCCCAAGAAGGCACTGGGAGTCCTCAGCTCACCTCCTCGAGGGAAGACCCCTGAATGCTCAGGTAGCCCAAGGTCATGCATCTATCTCCCTATGCCCCAAGAGACCAGACAGACATTTGTCCTCATCCTCCAGCTGGGCTCTGGCTGCAGTAGAGTGGGTCACTTCACCAGCCTTTGCTTAAACCACCTCTCATCTGAGTAATTAGCACTTGGCAGGAAGCAAAGTCCTTCACGTGGTGACCTGGACACAAGCAATTGCCTCCACCAGCAATTCAAGGAGGGGAACCTTAGCAATTCACTCCCTACCTATGATATGATTCATGATTTGCCCTTTCCAAAAATTGGCTGGATATTTATGTCCGCAGGGCGGTGTCTAGCAAACCTTTTCTGTCCTCTCTCTTCCTTGTGTAACTAATGAAACTCCCTGACTGAAGACCCTCTGATCCTCTGTGAGACTGGTGGAAGCACAGGAGAATGGGTTGCGTTGGGCTCACATCGAGTCCTGCCTGTGGGCTCACATATTCATCCTGCATGGAGAAAGGTTTAACTTGGAGTGGGACAACATCAGTCTCTGGTTCTTTGGACGTGACAAAAAAATACCTACCCCAAACACTTTACAGGACCAGTGAACAGAGATGCTAGGGTTGGGACACAAAGAAAGCCAGCTGTAAACAAAACGCAACACACGTGTTTCTTCCTGAACACCATCAATACATGACACACATTTCTATAAAAAGGAGGGCCCAAGGGGTAGGTGACAGCTTGGAGATGCATGCTGGCCATGGTTTCAAGCGGGTGGATAATACCCGCAAGCCAGTTCATAGTATGGTTACTTGGTCCATCCCAGAGGTGCTTCAGGATCCTCTCCGGTGAATAAAACCAACCACCTTCTCACTGGGGCTCTGGTTTCATCCGTCTGAACCAGGTGGGCTGCCCTTTGGGTCCTGAGCAACCCTGGAGGCAGTCTGAACTCCACATCACTTCACATGTCCTGTCAAGACCCCCCCACCATGAGTCAGGGCTTCAGGAAACCTCCTGACAGCTCAGCCATCAAAAGTCTCCCCTGCTGGGGCAGGCAAAAGCATTTTCTTTGCAGCTCTCATTTCTTGGATCAACTCTCTTTTTCAGCTTTTCCAAGGGAATTGTCCAAGGCTTCGACCCCATCTGCAGAGAGCTGGAGACACAACAAAGCTGTGGGGTGGAAAGGTGGCCAGGACCAAGAATGAGCTGGTTATCAATGATGCTGATTGTATAAAATCAAATAAATTGGCAGACGGATGAGGAGGAGGAAGGGATGCCCACACACTCACCTCTCCTTCCCATCCCTTCCCTCCTCCCTCCCCTCCCACTGAAAAAGTTACTGGTCTGGTTGTTTTGTAAAGAAACCAACACAAAGAGAGTCTCTGCCTGGCATGTGCCCACCCTGCTTCACATCACAAAGAGGCTCAGCACAGCAAGAGCGGGGAGAAGCCACCTCTGCAGAGGAAAGGCTGCCCAGCAGAAGGGAGCTGCTGGGCTGGAGGTCCCTGATGACAGACGAGTGGAGCCCCGCAGGAGCCTCTCCTCTCCCGCCACCTGCAAGAGAAGGGAGGCAGCACAGGGTGAGTGGTATGTTTGTTCCCCACGTTGGTCCTTCTGAGGATTTAGGGCTTGGGGATCATCCAACTTTCCTATATGTGTGCATGTGCAGAGGGATCCAGGGCCAGTCTCAACACCCCAGCTCCAGTCTGGAGGTCAGCTTAGCTCTGTTGGAGGTGGTGGTGAAGGTGGTGGTGATACCATGGCATACAGCAGTCACCTTATGGGCACAGCCCTGGGCATGCAGTCTGCAGGTTTGGACAGTAGTTGGAAGTGTCTTTGTGTGAGGTGGATGCCTGGATGCCCACTCTGGTCAATGGAGATCCATGCAGCCCATGGAGCCACTGTTGGCCAGCAGCTCTTGTCTCCAGATGGAGATGTCCCTTGGGCATTGAAGACATCTCCACGGGGCTGGCAGACATTTCACCAAGCAGGAGCTGGGAGCCAGGGCTGTTACTCCAAAATACAGTGCATGTGTTTGCATGACTGACTCCTCCCCTGGGTGCCTACTCCTTGCAGACAAACTGCACCCTTCTCCTTTTACAGAGCATTGACCACAGAGGCTGAAAATTTGCTTTACTAGAGACTTTATTTGCATTAGTTGATAACTAAGATAATTTAGAGCCAAGGCTCTGCACTGTTAGGAAGATGGGAAGCAGATGGACTAGTTAGTCCATCATAGCTTTCCTCCTCAGGTCCAAGAATATGAACATTATTAAACATTGAACAAGGTCTGGGTTTGGAGTTGAGTCCAAAGTCAAGACTCAACTCCCCAGTTTCTCTTGCAGTGTCAGCAGGGACCATGCTCCAGCAGCACTCACACCTCAGCAGAGGGATGTGCTGCTGTCACGTGGATGTTGGGGATGTGGTAGGACCATCCCTGACTGCAGTCATTTTTCCAGCTTCCCACTTGCTGGTGGCAGCAGCAGTTGGCTATCTGGGCTTGACTGCCATTGATGAGGGAGGTTCACAGCTTCTCCATCACTTCCAGGAATAAAGCTCTCGGTGCAAGATCTGGACCTCAGGCCACCACTTGGATTGTGCTGAGGTCTGGGGAGCGCCATCTAAAAGTAACTCCTCCAGATCTCATGGGTGCAAAGTTTATGGCCTGATGAAAGCATGCCTGTGCTGTACATGGCCACCAATGCCCTGAGAAGCAGTGAGGGAAGCTGAGGCCACATCTCTGCACCTCCCAACCTGCTGTTCTGTGAAAACAGAGTGGAAGGAGGTGAATCAGGTGTTTTCCCAGCAAAAGAAACAGGGAAGAGGCTTAAAAAAAACAGTCTGTGGAAGCTCCCTGAAGGTATTGGCTAGCCCAGTACAAAGCCCACGCTCAGTCCTTGGAGTCTAGTTAACTGACAGCTTCTGTTACGTGAACGTTCAGCAAATCAGGGTCACTGTTAATTATTCAATAGTAAAATAATTCAATCTGAAAATTACTCTGGTGGGTGGCAAATCAAGGTCATTTCTTTTTATTTAAAAATAAAATATTTAATGCCTACTACTGCCATCAGCGGTAAATTCATCTGTTATTTGTTTTAAAATAATTTCACTTTAATATTACTTTGATACTAACAATTTGCTGATGACTAGAACCTTTCAGATGAAATTTTCCAACACTTAGCAAACCTTACTCAGTTAAGCCTCAATGTTATGACCTCGAGGATTCTCGCCTAATAAGGGAGGAAGCTGTGTCCCAGACAGCTGAAATGCTTCTGTGAAGCCACGCAGCTGCCCTGCAAGAGGGTGAGGAGCCAAACCAATGGTTCTGGCTCCCCTTCTACAGCCCTGAAAAGTCCATGGATTTCCCAGTACTTCTAAAAAACCATATGTCTTTGTAATACCCACAAAAGAAAAGAGAAGGTGACCAACAGGCAGGAGGGCAGAGTCAGGGATAGGAGCACATAGCCCTGTGCTTGATGTTGGGGAAAAATCTGTCAGAGCATGAAGAAGAGGGTGAATCAGGGACTCCAGGAGGTGGAGAGGAGGTTGGATGTCTACACATAGCTGAAATGGCACAGATGGAAGAGGGAAATGAGGTGAGAGGGGCTGGAGGGCATGGAGGATGTATAGACACTGCCAAGTATCTTAGGGCCAGGTCAGCCTTCTCCTACCTTGGTGGGCTGGAGATGCTCGAAGATGTTCTCTCTGAGGGTCACCACAGCTCTGTTGGCATTTCGCTCCTGCTTGTACATCTGTGTGGTGGGGGGGATGGATGGGGCCACAGCTGCATTCAGGTAGGTCCCATTGCCAAAGGCCAGAATGGCATTTTCTGTGTGTGTGAAAGAGATGGACAAAAGTGTTGTCAGGGCAACATTTCCAAGGCAAAGCACCAACCTCCAACCTCCTTCGACTGCATCACCCAAATGCATGCCAGAGGGTCTTCAGAGCTCCTTTGTTGAAAACTTGGACACCCACAGACTCTTGAGGACCAGGGTATCTTCATACCCTCATTCACAAGAAGCCTCACCAGCTTGTGGGTGATGCTGCTCTAGCAGCAATATGCCGGGTGATACTTACGGAGACAGATATTGTCGGTGAAGAGATGCAAAAAGCTCTCACACTCTTCCTGCCGGTTGCCGCTGGCATTGCACGTGCACCAGGGAGCTATGCTGGAAGTTGAGTTGTCAATGTAGTTGGGTGTGATGGGGCTGCCTGTGGGGAAAGATGGAGAAGTGTTGCTGCAAGGCTGGTACTTCAAGAGGGAGCAATGATTTCCCTCGCTTGCTCTGCTTACAGCCTCAGCTGAGTCCCTCTGTGATGGCAGTATGAGAAAATCCTTCAAGTGCTGGTGTCACAGATCTGTTTTGCTCCCAGGAAGGAGAAGAGGGGCAGTCACAACCCTTTTGTTCATCCCACCATGAACAAAACCTTGAGTCAATTAAAATGTGCTGTCAGTCCAATGAATGGGCAGCTCCTGGGACCTCGGGTTCCCTAATAACATTCAAAAACTGTATGTGAACGTGCATAAAGGTTTCCTCACTATCCTTGAAAATGCAAACTCAATCTCCATAATGGTCAGAGACAACAAAGGAAGGGTTAAACCAGAATGAAATCTTGACCCAAAAAGCTGTCAATCTATCCCATCCGTCAGAATGGACCAAGTCCAATGGCCATTGGCTCTTCTCTTTAGACTCTGGCTGTGCTTGTGGGTCTCTGCAGCATCTGAAAACCCAGTTTGACATCCTCTGAAGTCAGCAAGATGGCATTGGATGGTGATTTCCAGTAGCATCACTGGTGATGGCATGAGGGAACCCCTAACAGAGCAGATGCCCTGGGACGGTCCATCTATTTCCACCTGAGAGAGAAGCTGGGATCTTGCAGCAGCACACGGTGCATGGTTTTTCTCCCTCCACTGCAGCTATCCTAACTTTACCCCATACTCATGGCTTATGTTCCTTTTGTAGTCATGGCAGAGAGAAAGCCCAGCATCTCCCTGAGATCCCAGTCTCAGCTCTCCACCTTACTGTCCTCACAGCTTTTAGCTGACCAGAGTAAGAGGAGAGGTTTCCCACACAGAGGAGACAATTCCCACCCACCAGAGAGTGGGAGAGAGACCGGTTGAAGGATGCAGCCTCTTACCTATGATCCCTGTATACGCCAGGAGACAGGCAGCATAGCTGTCCCTCCGGCAGCCACTTGCAGCCTGCAGGGACGGCTGGCAATTGAACTGGAACTCCGCATAGCGGGACCTGGTGGAGTGAGACCACAAGGTGGGATATATTAGCACAGATATTCGGAGCAAAAAGGGACCTAACAGCACACTGGCGGTGTTTGCAGAAGGGAACACATTTGCAAAATTCTTTGTTGTGGTAGGTGTTGCCAAACCAGCCTGAGTGAATGTTATTTTATACTCTCCCCCCGCCGCCCCCAACAAACGCAGGTTTTATCCCTTTGAGATGAGACATGAACAAGGGCTGTAGTTACTGTCTTACAGGCTTCCTCTGGGACTGCAAGACAGGTCCAGTCTTGGAAGAAATGTTTGTTTTCTGGTGTGTGAAGCTGGTTTTTGAGGGAAGAGCTGTTGAGACAGTGAGGGAATTCATTCTGTATTGCCATTATCTGACTCTTGAGTCATAACTTCCCCTAGAGACTTAAGCCTTCATTTTCAGGCTGATTTCCTGAAAGAGAGAATCACTCTGGTCCAGTTTCTCTCTCTTCAAAGGCTGTGCTCTAAATGTAGCTGAGGTCATCCTCAGATTAAGGGAAATGACCAAAGGCTCAGATATGAAATGCTCTACGTGTCATCAGGGCTGCTGCCACATCCTCTGTGGCAGGGACCCATTCTCAGGAGAAGGCTGGGGTCTCTGGAACCTGTGGAGCAAGAGCTGTACGACATACAGCTCTGACCACTGACCATAGTGCCTTGTTTTTCGTGTTGTCTAGGTCAAAGCACCAAACCAAACCACTTAGCACAAAGCAGCTTTGAATCACACACTGGGCTTGTTGGGACTGTCTGGACCACGCAGGGAAGGAGGTGCATCATTCAGACAGATTGTCAGATTGCTCTTTGCATGTGGCTCCCCTGCCAGCTTGGTTGAATAAACTCTGTAAATCATGCTGCCAACCAGATATTTGCCACCTAATTCTTTAGGGATGAGTCAGTTGTTGGCACATGGACATCTAATGTTGTTTGGACACTGTAGGATATCTAAGACATCCACATGGGGCTTTCAGGTAGGACATAGGACCTACTGGAGATTCAGACCCATCTAAACAGGCATCCCGTGACCAGATAAAAAGGCATCTCACATGGCATTTGAGCTGCTTAGGAAACTCAAGCAAGCACTAACACTGCCGACACTTGAGGGTAGAGCCCTTTAGGTGAAAACCTGCAGTGTCTGAACTGGGTACCTCAAATGTTTGCTTTGCCTGTGCAATCTCAGAAAAACTGAGCATGTTGCTCCTCCCAGACAGCCTCTCTCTTCCAGTCTTTTTGTTGGTGCTCCTGGTCAGTGTCAGCACTGAGACTTGCACTTTCCCACCCATTTCTCTCCTCCTCCCCAGTCTTTTCCTTTTTTTCTCTTCTTTGTTCCCATGTTTGTGCCATACCAACCCCTTTCTCCTATGCCATGGCCAGGCAAACCCTCTTGCCCAAATTTTTGCTGCATTATTTAGGGAAGGGAGGTACTGATTTCAGGTTTTGTATTATTCATGTTAGTAGAGGCCACCCCTACAAGCTGGGAAATTCAAGAGGTTACAGCTGTGAAGAAGCTGCAGGAGGACTAAGCAGTGCAGGCAGGGTTAGCCCTGGAGTGTTTTACTCTATTTCTTTAAAGTGCCGTGATTTGTTCCTGGCTCTCCTTGTGGTTTCTGCACTGCTAGCTTTGACCAGGTCACACGTCAATCCCTTGCTCCCGCCGTGTCTCTAGAGGATGTTTTATATTATGCATTCAGAGACCAAGGAACCAGATAATTAACAGCTGTGCCGCTTGCAGGAAACGGTTTCCAGCCTCCTGGGAAGCAGCATTCTCCCCTTTGAACCTCTTATTTCCCTCTGGGCCCACTTGTCTTGTTAGGGAGAGGGCAGTACCCGTCCGTTTCGGATTCCCTGGGTAGTTGGGTGAAATCTGGGCAAGAGCTGGTGTGGCTCAGGGGCTTTGCATCTTTCAGAGTCAGCTTCAGATGTATATCTCAGTTGTTCTCCTTTGTGCATATTTCTGGGGTGCAGAGGGGTGAGGGTATTAGTACCAGTCCATCCTTCCAAGAGGATGCTGCTGCTCTCACCTCCCTTAGTGAAAAGACTTATTTTTTTAACTGTAATTTAAAGATGATGTGCTGGTAGGGGATGGCTGCTGGAAGTTCAGCTCAGGAAGTCCCAAAGCCAGCAATAATTAGAGACTGGGACAATACTGGGACATGTGTCCTACACTTCGTATTGTGCTCTTTTCCAGGTGTCTGCTCATGCCCACAGTTGCACACAGGACGCTGGGCTGGGACCACCACATTTGGTGCAGTACAGCTGCTGGTACGGTCCTACATCTCTTACTGACAGATGGGCACCGCTCCTGAGAGCTGTATGTGGATTAAAATTCTGGAGTATCAAAGAATTTTTGAGAAATCGAGGGGTGAAAATAATACAGCTGAGGGAAAAAAACTTAAGGGGTATGCCTGTGAGTGTGCCCAGTGTGATGGGTCTGTGCATGTGTGCATGCAAAGGGCTTAAATGGAAACAGAGGAGCAAACCACCCTGGCCACATACTGCATGGTGGACCTGGAGTGAGAACTGTGACTGAGACTCCTATTGCAATCACTAGAACATCCAGCCTTGCAGCAGAAGGGTATATTTTTATATACATAATTAATTTTTCTAATTAAAAAAAAAAAAAAGAGAGAGAGAAAGCCATGGTTTTAAGATGTGCCTGTGACTGTTAGGATAACTTGGGTACTCCTGTAGGATGCTCTTGGCTAGGGGAGATAGACAGTGAGGAGACAGATTGGTGAAAGTGACTGCAAGCACACCACACCACACTACATCCCTGCCTAGCTTGCACCTTCATGGAACTATTTCCATAGTGGTATGTCTTTAGGACCAAAACCAAAAACCCATAGAAAAGGTCTAAAAAAGCTTCAGCACAAACTTCTCAAACCTTCTCCTGTCTGTTAACATTTTTGTATAGAGTATGAGACAAGGACATGGGTCATGGGAAGGAGCCACTCAGGCAACGACCTATGTTGATGGGATGGGTGCCTCCAGACAAGACCCTTCAGGCAGGTGCATTGGCTCTGATCACCAGGCTGTCACTGGTGGATGAATCCCAGGCTTGTCCAAGGGACTGCTCTCCACAGCGGCCACCCCAATGTGTGAACGTTACCTGCAGACGTAGTTTTCCCGGCAGGAGTCCAGCGGTGCCAGGCAGTTGGGCTTCTCCTTGGACTCATAGGAGCAGGCAGGCACAATGGTCTGCCGCCTGCGTTCAGCACAGGCTGTGTCATCACAAGGGCAGAAGAGCAGCTCGTGGGTGTACTCGGGCGGCACGCGGTCAAAGAACTTGCGCAGAGCCTTGTGGCACTTGGAGCGGTTGCAGGTGTCGGCCCGGGCCAGGCGCCGGATGCAGAAGGAGACATACTCTGTCCGCAGCCGCTGGCACATCTCATCCACGTTGCAGGCTTTGGCGGCATCCAGGCACCGGTTCACCTGGGTCACCTCGTTTTCAGACCCTGTGAGGTGGTGAGAAATGGTGTTAGAGTTTCGCGCTGACATCCCTGATAGCAGCACCACCTTATGCTGAGAACTTCATCCCTGTTCTGCTCCCATCCATGACCACCTCAGTGAGGCCACCACCCGATCTAGGAAGGTAGGGGCCTAGATGAAGTCAGCCTTTGCTCTCTGTGTCCCAGCAGGGCTGAATCTCTTTTCCCTACTTACCTTTCCAAAGAGGTGCCATGGCCACACAAGAAACCTCACAGCCCAGAGCCTGCTACACCAAACCCCTACATTTAATGAAATGAAGCTTTTCCCTACCCTGGGCATTTTATAACGCTTTACCAATGTGAATTAACCAACTTGAGGCTGGGGAAGACAGAAGTCATTAGAAAGTGTATCTACTTATGGCCATGACTAGATCCATCAGTGGGATGGAATCTCTTCTAACTTTCTTTTTCAAAAAAGTTGCTCAAGATCAAACACTGTCAGTGGCCATGCCATGTCTCCTGATACATACGTGGTCTGTGCTAACCCTTGCACCCCAGACCCTCTACCCTGTGCAATAAGTTTCCTCAGGTCTCCAGAGGGTCAAGTTGGGCTTTGGCAGCAGCTGTGCTACGTTCATCCCAGGACCCACCCAACTAAGTGACAGCTGTCCAGTTCTCAAAGCCCAACAGCAGTGCTCTAGCTTCCCCCATCCAGACCAGTCCTGCCCAGTATGTCCAACTTCTCTTAGACAAGAGGAGAACAAAAGTCCAGGATTAGCAGTCTGGGTGGGAGATCAGGGGTGTGCTGTGGGGATGCAGGGAAGTTAGAGGAAAACCTGCAGCCAGGGGAACAATCAGGAAAATAAAGCAAAAACTGTGGTGACGGATGAGAAATACACTGTCTTCAGTAGGCAAAGAGGGGTCTCAGGAGTTTATATGTGAACAACCTCCTGTTCAAATACAGGAACAGGTAAGAGTGAAAGATACTTGTATAACACTACTGTTAGGGGTCCTCCAAGGATGGTCTGGGCTCTTTTTATAGAGGGGTGAAATGCTACAGAGTCCCTGGTAGGAGTTGGTCGAGACATTAGGCTCTGTCTGATCAGAGAGATAAGATGAGGGTCCTCCAAGCATGAGAGAGAAAATGAATTCGAAGCCGTTTTTCACCTCTCTGGATTAAGCCCATGACCTGAAGCGTGGTAGAAGGACTTTCTCCCCTGCAGAGAAGGATTGTTCACAGAGGAAAAATCCCCAGAATGATGAATTTCCAATGCAGAGTCAAGCCCTATCTTTGGCCGGGAGTTAAAACCAGCCAGTCACTGCTGACAAGTGTCAAAACATTGACAGTGTCTCTGAGCACTTCAAAACTGGCTGCCCTCCTTCATTTTCACTGACGTTATCAGATTGTCCTTCTCCAAGCATTTATTTTTCCCTTCCTGTTGTCCCCACTGCTTGCGGTGAGCTGGAAGTCAAATTTTGAGCTTTGCAGCTATTTTATGATGAGTGAAACTGATGCTCGGTGTGTTCCTACCACGTAGGTACTTCCCTTTAAAAATGCCCAAGAGATGAATATTCTTAGAGCATCAGTTTATGCTGGGGAGCTGTCAGCAAACGTGTAGGAAACAGTTACTTAGAAGGGTTTCATTACCCATTCAGTTAATGAATCACAGGGAACACACTAGCTTTTCTCCTCTTCCCACGCAACAACAGAGGATGTGCTTTTTTAAATCACCTCTACAATTAGAGTGGAGGGATATAATTCCATTTGTACGTTTTCAATAGTGGCCATATATTGTTTATGCAAAATTTGGTTAAAAATACCGGTTGCTCTGACTTGGCATAGGGTCATGGGAATGCCTTCTGTTTCAGCAATTGGAAATTTATTTTGGTAGATTTGAAAGAGGGTCCTTTGGCAATGCTGACCGTATAATCCTAGGCACTGGACAGGCATGGGGCAGCAGTTCATAAGATGTTTTATAGAAGGTGTTGATGAGTATAAATAAGGAAAAAAAGGTTAAACCAGGAAATATCACGTCCCTAGTTGGATGCTGAGTCCTTTGGTACATATCCTTGCTGCTCCAGGTCCATTTGCTCTGCTGCCCAACCAGTTTCAGTCTGCTTTAAAAACCTGAAAATGTGCTAACCATGCATAAAAATTCCTGGGTTTCACTGTACTCTGAAGAGCCCTGTAGGACTTCCAGCGAAAGAGGAAAAACTCTAGCAAAGAAGGCCATGACCCGGCAAACAGTTTTGTGCATGCTTCACTTTCCATGCTCAAATCAGTCAAGTGGAGTCAATAAGAAGATGTGAGGTCAGGGAGTGCCCCCCCCCTTCCCCTCGCTGCTCAGATTGTCGAGGGCTGATGGGTTAATTTGCTCCTGGACATTTTCACCTAACAAGTGCCTCACTATCTCGGGGACTGCAGACATCCATCAGCTGCGGGGACGTGCTGCTCCTTACTCGCTTGGGTGCACTCCAGCTGTGGATGCCATCCCGGAGTCAGGTGCATGTTTGGGAAGAGCTGCAAGAGGACTGCTGTTTTGGCACATCTGCCAGAGACACACAAGGAGTACATTACCTGCTTCCAGATGGGTAGTTTGGTAACAAAAGTCACCGTTGGTAAAAGCTTCCCTGTGGCTGTGGTGCATAAGCAGAGCTGAACGCTGGTTGTGGTGGCAGCTGTGATGTTGGTGATGGATGGCTTGATAGCTACCGCACTGACCTTTTAACTGCTGAGCCAGGGGTTCATGCCCTGGAGGGGGTTAAAAGGCGTCGGGCAGATCTGCTCATGTTATTAAGCAGATTACATGATGCAGAGCAGAACACGGGTCTGAGTCCTGAGGTTGCCCTCAGGGCATGGGGTTAAAGGCTGTGGCTGGGATCAGCTAGTAGGTTAGGTTATTGACCTTTTTGCCTGCAGAGTTTGACCCTGTTTTGTTCCCATACCTAACAATACGCAAGCAGCCCCTGTTCTGCAGGGTATCTGCATGGCACAGGTCATCCACCTGCTACGAAGAATCAGCCCACCTGTGATGGCTCATTGGAAGAGGCCTTCCTACTATGACCCCCAATCCCAGCCTGCCACAGTATGGACATAAAAAAATCCAAAGAACAAAAACCACAAGTGCTTCTTCCTAGGACAAGCTCTTCTACCAATAGTTTAGCACAGGAATAATAAACAGCTCCTTGGAAAAATGATTGCAAGTTCTCGGCAATGTTTTGTGAAGATATCACAAGAGACCACAAAGGACCGCCTTGTCCATAGCGCTTGATCCCACAGCCAGTTCCCCCCTGTTTGAACCAGTCAATGTAAGAGTATCTTCCCACACACCTACCTGCAGTGATGGATGCCAGCCGGACGTAATCAAAGCCTCTGATGAAAGGCTCATAAGGGGAACTCTCCAGTACATTCATGCCTGAGTCGAAAAGAGAAGTTAGTGAGAAGGCAACTCAGGGTCCTGAGGGATATCCAAGACGTACGAGGTTCAAGAGATGCAGTGCAGGTTTGTTTGGTGGGTCCAAGGGAACGTGTGCTCTAAAGGTCATAAGTAAAGGGATACTCAGAGTCACAGGAACTGGTGTATGGCCATACCCTTAGGGAAGGGAATAGGATGCAACTGGCTTTTAAAAACAGATCAAAGCTTTGGAGTAGGACAGCCTCTCAGGGAACCGTTAAGTTGCAACCCTCTATAGTCTTGTGCCCCTTTACAGGGATTGCCACTGAGGACACCAGACTGTAGCACAGGCTCTTGCTTATGGGCAGAGTTCAAACCACCAGCTCCCTACAGACATGTGGTTTCCATCACCATTCTTACTATTTCCTGTATGTCCCTCCCTGGGTCAATGGTCTTCACCTGTTCCTAGGACACAGCCAGGGCTGTGCACAGGGCTGTATGTGTGGCAACACACACACCTTCATATTTATTAACACCTGTCCCTTCCCCTTGCTAACAGCCCTTTCTTACTTGCCATAGAGCTAATGACCCACAGCTCCTGCAGAAACTTCCCCTCTTTATTTTTAAGTTGCGGGGAAGCTAATTTTATTCAATCGGCACTTCCCTCTCATCCGCTCAATGGTCTGTAATGCCCCGTCATCCTGATGGATACCACAGAATAGTACTGAAGCAAACAGCTCAGTATCTTCTTTTTTATTTTTATTATTTATTAGACATTTAGATGGATACGGACAGCAGCAGCATATGTACTGACTGGGATAAAAGGACTATCAAACCTCATGCTCCAGGCATATGCTGATCACCAGCTGTGGTCAGGAAGAAATGGCTCCCAGGGTACACAGCCCTATGCAATTACCACAGGTGCATTACAAGGCAGGTTTACACCATCATTGAAATATCTTGCATCGTTACTGACTGGAGAGGGGCCCATTTGTATGTTCCAGCGTAGCAGTTTTATGTCCTGATGATATAGCACCTTATCAGAGAATTGTTATCGGGTTGTCATCATGTTATTGTGTCTCCAAATGGGAAGGTGGCTAAACACAGGCGAGCTCAAAAGAAGCTGAGTAAATAGCACGCTTTGTAAATTCCCTGAGCACACACTTCCACAATTGATTTTATAAGAGGGCTTCTAGGAAGCTTTTAACAGCCTCCTGGGTATGTATGACTGAGAGACAAAGCTCTACATGGAGCATGTGGATTGGCTTCCTTTCTCAGTCAATTAAACATGTGTAAGGACTCTGAAACATGTGACTGTTATGAAATATATTTCCCCAGGGAAATTAAGGCAAGGAAATCAAAGGTTTGGGAGTGTGAATCTGCACTGAAAGTGAACTCAGTGCTTGAAGAAATGCAGGGCTCAGGACATGACAGCAGAGGAGAAGTAGGGCAGAGTCTGGGCAGTCTCCAATAACAGCCCTCTCACAGTCATCCCCAAGACGAAGGTCCCAAGCCGCTGGGCAGGAAGCCCATCCAAGCTGACCATGCAGCATCCATCTCCTACTCTACATCTGGACACCCAGGCCTGGCCCCTGCCTCCTCCCAGCACTCCCTGCCATTCTCTCACTGCTCTTCCATCCGCGGTCCTGAAGCTGGAAGTCCCGCTGACAGCACTGTCCTGCAGAGCCAAGTCTCAGATGAACTCTGCCCAAAGCTTCAGGCCATGAAGGTCAGTGGGAAAGGAGTTGTGAGGCAGCCTGTTAAGGTGAATGGAGAGGCTGGATTGCCACCTCTTCCCCAGACTTCACTTCAATGAAAACAGATTCACCTGGCACGTGATTATGGGAAAGATTGGAAGCTGGAGGGTGCTGAGGTCTTTTATTTCCCCAGTCAGTTCATAGCACTGTGCTCTGCACCTTGCAAGCTGTGGCACCCGAAAGCTTTCTGAGAACTTGATGAAGCAGTTCCTATTCTGGCAAGTCGGTGCGTTATAGTCTCCATCCTCTCTGTTTTGCTTGGCCTTTTGGCCTGTGTTATCACCCCTGCACCTTTCCTTTCAGCTTTCAGCCAGCAGTGTTTTATTAATCTATTTCGCAGCCCATGGCTGGAAGGTTCTGTTTTATTCCCCGTTTTAATTTTCATGGTGCATAAAATACTCACCAGCCTGACAAGGAAGAGTTACGGCCACTGAGGTGCACTTTTATGATGACTCTTAAAAACCGTCAAAATCCAAACTTACTAAATACTGGCTCTGGGAACACTTTAAATTCTAACTTCATGTCACCAGCCCCAAATCTTCACTAACCCAAAGACACTGGTGCATTTGAGAGCCTCCAAGAGAGTGATTTTTTTTAAGTTCATGCTGGCTTTTCCTCAATGTCCATGCTTTGTATAGCGTTTCTGTAAAATCCACAGCTTTCATGGTCTTGGCTAGCATAGTTACATGCAAAATTTACTATACATTTCCCCAGAAAAAGATTTCAAGGGATACTGCAATCATCACAAAAGAGAGACCAGGTCAAAAAAAAAAAAAAAAAAAAAAAAGGAGATGTCTCAGGTTTTCAGGATTGCTTCCCCCAAAATATCATTACTGTGGGGGTCAGTAGGTCTTGAGAAGGAACAGAATACTACAGGAGTGACCTTTTTTTTTCAGCCACTTTGGTGCTGGGGAGCTCTGTAGAAAGCCCCAACAGTAATTCCTTTTTAGGAAGATCATCAGAAATAAGTACCCTGCTTGACTGACCTTCCATCAATGTGTGGTGGATGCTCCAGTAGACACTCAAGCAGTGCTTCTCCTTTTTCATGCCTCGCTTGCACTTGCATCCATACAGCTGGCTGGACAGCAGGGCCGTCACAGTGCTCCGGCACTGGTTCTTGGCATCAGGGCCCAGCTTGTTGGCTCCATTGCCTGCGATGCATTGCCGGAGGGTCCTGAATTTGGCACTGCAGATGGGGTCGTTGGTGCAGGACTCGCCTGCTTGAAGGCAGTCCCTGCTCGAGCTGACAGCTTCCGCCATACCTTCTGCAATAAAACCAGAGAAGGGGTGTAAGGGTGATGGAGCAACCCCAGGAAGGAAATGAATTTTGTCTCCCATGAGCTGGACCTGGCTGGGATGTCCATCTTCACATGCAGAGATGGAAATCCCTCTCATCACCATCCACTCTACAAGCAACGATTCTGCTTCTGAAGTGGGCAGATCCCTCCCCAACATGTCAACTGAAAGGCTTGAATTCCCAGGCTTGCCAGTCCTACTCATGGATTGCCCCCATGATGGGGAGAACTGGCTGCTCGAGTGTGCTACAGCACTGTTCAGCAGTGTCACAGAGGAACAGGAGTGGGTGAAAGGAAGTTGGAGGGATGATAAGGAGAAAAGACGCAACCTGAGATTCAACACCTCGACCCAACACTCTCTCTCCCACATTGCTGGGCCACCATCAGCAGTGAGAAGCATCTGGTGTTCAGCTGAGGAGCCAGAAGGAGACGTCACCTCTCTCCTGGAGACCAGGTCCTTCCTGATTTCAGAGTTACCCTGGATGGGGTCAGCCTGGAAGCAGGATATGTGGCAGAGACTTCGCGAGTTCCTGGTGCTTGCTTTTTCCTGCTTGGAACCCAAAAAGCTCTCCAAGTCCTTTGCTCCCCCAGCTCTTTATCTCATTTCTCCCACCTGATTTCTCCCACATGCTCTGGAGCATGTTGACATAGGTAAGGCATGACTGCGCCATGGCTTGGGGGAGTCATAAAGATGTAAATCTGGTTTATGGAAGGGGAAAATCAGTCCCTGTGCCTATATAATGTAATTTCGGATCCTGCTGCACTATAAAACCAGAAACTGCTGTCATGACCTTGAAGAAGGACTTCTCAAATACTTCCCAAAGGAACTCCTTGTCCCTAACATAACTTGTCTTCCCTTTGGATAGGAACCAGAAGTGTAAGGACACCTTACCCTCCGCGAAGTAGATAAGGTGGTGGCACCTTCTGGGTTTTGAGCCCTACCACAGTCTGTTCCTGGTGAGACCCAACTTGGACAACATTAGAAAATCCTCTCTCTTGAGAAAAATGTGGGGTCCTGATTTCCATTTCTGATGGCTTCATGAGATCTCCCATCTCTCCAAGAGTCTGTTGATCGCTCCATAAAGTCCCTTTTTCCTCCTTCCACCTACTACCTCTCCTGCCCTGAATTCCTGCACTTGCCTCTGCTGCCCTCCCAGTTCAGTGCTTGAGACCAGTATATCCATTTCTGTTCCCTCAGCAGTCGCAGGCTGTTTGCTAAGAAGGAGCTACTTCTGTTGCTCTTGATTAAGGTAGAAGGTAGCAGCTGGAGTTCAGATATTTCAATTATGTTTATTACAAACTTTGGGTGAACCCACCAGGAGGTTTCCTCCTGAAATATCCCAATGGCATCTCAAATGCAAAACCTTTCATCAAACTCCAGACTATTTCGAAGTGCCTCGTGGCCAACGTCAAGCTTTCAGTTATTTCAAATCTCATGGCACCTGAAATTTGAGTTCTCCTACCCCTGATTTATCCATAGACCTGGTTTATTTAGCACTCAAGGCTTGTTTGGATCTGCCAAATGTGGAGAGAGAAATTATTTCCAACATGTAGGAAACTCTGCCTTGGGCTGTCATATCTTGAAGAACTCTGAGCACAAGGAACCAGTTCCCTTGAAATATCATTTGGTCTGCAATTTCACTGAGATCCATAAAATGAGCTGGAGCTGCTCATAGCCTTTGATTTCAGACACCACTGAATTTTCCATGCACATATCTAAACACAATCCATAGGGGAAAATATAAAAAAAAGGGCTTGACTTATTTTGCCCTGGCTTTCTCCAAAGGATCTCCTCTGGATGAGGACAAAGCATGGCAGGTTTTATTCTAGAAGAGATGACTTTGTCAGTGTCATGTCACCTGCTAGAAAAGTAGGTTAAAATAGAAATTATGACCCTCCTTCCACCTCTCTGCTACATGAATTGCAGAAGATACTCCCCAGGATGGTTATAAACACAGCCAGCCTGTAAAAGCTGTAAAAGACTTTGGGATCCCACTTTAAATAAATCAAGCAGATTGACCATTTGAGAAAATTTCCTGCAAAATTTTAAGTAAATATATCCTCAAGCTGAGACTTGCTTCATAGAACAAAGGCCAGGGGTGAATATTTACAGCCCAAGCCCAAAGCATAAAATACCCCGATTCAAGACTTTATGACAGAGGTGCTTGAAGCAACTTGAAGTGGAGCGTCACAAATGACCCATTCCATAATCATGTCACTTAAAAACCAAATCATTCAGGGGCTTTTATTGTTAGCGATGTCTTTGCAACTGAGACAACATAACACCACGTTTTCCTCGTCACACTACCCCTGAGAGAGTAATTTTATGGAACATTAAGAGAGTGCCTCTTAGGGAAAAAAAAATAAATCTCTGTGACTTATAAAATAGATGGTACTTCCTAACAGGCAGGGACAAAAGCAAAATCAAGTCTTCTCTCCCAAAGATGGACTGGCCTTTTTGGTTTTGCCTTCAAAAATAGCACCTTGTGGACTCTCCACCAAGGGGTTTTCCTCTACCTCTCCCCCTGACTGACCAGGGGGCTCGGGATATGCACCGGGTTGTGCATGGCTTGGGCTTTCTGTGCCTCTGCTTTTCTAATAGCAGACCTTCCAGCTCCCTCTGCTCTCTTTAAAAGGCCATTTGTCTGGATTTTTATTCCTCGCATGCTGCTAATTTCACGCTGTTTACAGTGGGCAGATGGAGTAATGAGTTTATTTTCACATCCTGTTTGTAGCTATGCTCCACATCTGTTTCTGCTCTTGCTTACCTCAGTGACACTTACATAAAGTTACTCCTAATGTGCAGGAGGAAGAGAAAAATCTGACTCTTCCCACTGCCTTAATAGACCCTCGGTTCTTTTTATACAGGTATCTTAAAGTGCATTTTGTTGAACGAGGAGGTCTGACTCTCCTCCAAGGAGACCATTTCCTTCATCAAGGAAATGCAGCTGTGTCTCAGGTACAGAAGTGTGAAAGTGGCCCCATGGGGTCTGGAAACAGGGAACAAAATGCCGGAGAGCACCAACATGGGGCCCTGCCACTCTGCTTTTCTGCTCCAACCAACACTTGCACTTCAGATGTTTTAAGAGGATCTTTATATCATTCCTCATGATGCTGTTCAACCTGGGGCTTTTGGGGTATGCCCCCCTCCCCTCCACTTTTTGTATGTATTACACCCCCAATTCACGCACAGTCCTAGGGAGTGATGAACATTGTTATTATTTCCATGACAAGCTGTTGTCTCCAGAACGTTTGGTGTTTGCTTTTAAAATATTTGCTACTAAGAAGAGAATAACCATCCAAAATCTCCAATAAAGCAGCAAGAGTGGTTTATTTCCCCTTTAGGTTAGTTGGACATCTTTTACGTAACCCTTTCTAAATCAGGCCTGCCAAGTCTTGCACAATGAGTACCAGTATGATGCAGAACGTGCCTGCCTTTCACTCCCCTCACGCTCAGACTGGATCGCCTGTGCTCATGCATCCTTCATGCTGTGGGATCCCTTCTGCTCTGCCACCTCATCTGCCTGCTGCACATCAGAGGTCTTCTGCTGACCAGACATAACACATGCAACATGCCATGGCGTGTGAGAAGCCGTCTGTCTACAAGCCTTGTTTTGCCTGCAAATTTGGATCACAGAGTCACAGAATCACAGAATGGACAGGGTTGGAAGTGACCTCTGGAGATCATCTATGCCAGCCTCCCTGCCAGAGCAGGGTCACCTAGCGCAGGTTGCACAGGACGGCATCCAGGCGGGTTTTGAATGCCTCCAGAGTGGGAGACTCCACAACTTCTCTGGACAGCCTGTTCCAGTGCTCTGACACGCTCAAAGAAAAGAAGTCCCTCCTCATGTTTGGATGGCTCTTTTCATGCCAGAATGAGTCTTCCAGCCAGCACGTAGACCATGCAAATGGTTTGGAGAGAACATTGCAAAATGTACTTGCATCCTACACTAATGTGACTGACGTCTGCAGAACAGGAGTCTAAACCTCAGGTGGGCACCAGACCATCCCTCTGTGTTCAGCTGGGAGAAAAGGCCATCACTGGGCAATCCTAATAGGCTGGGTCAAATTAAATCTGAGGTAGAGATGTTAGTGCTTGCTAATAGGCAACCGCTTGTTATCCAGAAATTTTCAACTTACCCAGAGCTGTCAGAAATAAGTTGTTACACACAGTTGTCCTGAAGTGAAAAAAATGACAGGAAATATTCCTAGTATTTCCCAAATATTTGTAAACCAATAGTGAGGCATGAACAGGGCCAGGTGGCTAATGCAGGTGGTCACTGCTAAATCTTGTTCAAGACTATGTTTTCATGTCATAGTTTTACAGCCAAGTGCTCAGGATCACCTCAGGAACAAGCCCTTGTATACAGCTCAAACTTTGTTTCCCATTTACTGTTAAAATAGCTGCAGAGTGTGCAGAGGACTGCCTTTCCTCCAAGTGCATACTTTGGATATGCCTCCACCTGAATACCTTAGATTTGTTCCAGGAGTGCAAGGAGTTGTGGCTCACAGGTGTGCCCCTCTCCAGTGGTCCCATTTGCAATGAAGTTGAGGCACTCAAGAGTGATTGAGACATGCAAGAGTGGCAATGCTACACTGAGAATTCACTCTCTGTGTTGCACTAACATGTACTCACATGGGCTCATCTCACTGGACAAAAACCCTGCACCCTGTCTGATCTGGAGACAAGCATATAAACCATAACAGAGCTTCCCCTGTAAACACCTCTGCCATACTGATGGTTCTTCCCCAAAACTGCCAGAGAACAGTCCTCGCAGGAGATCCCACACACCTTGTCCAAAACTCATAGCTGTTAACCGGATTTCGTAGTGCCCAGCAAGCCCCATTGGGATGCTGGCATGCAAGGGAAAGTTTACTTCCCTCCCATCCATCTTGCCCTGGGCTTAGTGCACGCTCAGTCCTCCAACACCATGAATACGTCGAGGGCTGGTTCACTGTTTTGCTGGATT